CTGATTCCAGGCTGCAGGAGCCAACACACTGAATGCTTGCTTCCCTTTTTCAGTTCGAACACGTGGAACATGCAGAAGAAAAATGTTGTCAGAGCGTAAAGAATGAGAACTAACGTTAGTTCTCATATGCTGGAAGAGCTTAAATATGCTGGAGTTAGGCCGAGTAGAGATTTATAAATCGGGCTCATCAGATGATTGTTTCTCTGAACGCTTAAAGGAGGCCATTCAACTTTTGCATACAACTCACAATGATGTTACCGGTTATAAATCTTAAAGCACAATGATACATTGATACATATTTGATTTGTATTTTAAGACTTTATGCCCTGTATCATTGCTTAAATGATCTTTTAGTACGTTTGGCTGGCCATCGGTATGTTCAGCAATCCATTTTTTTGTCACAATAACAAATTTTGCTGGACAATAAATTGTTCTAGAGCTTATTGCGAAAAACAATATTGTTTTGAGACCATTTTCAAGTAATAGTTAAAGTGGCAAGAACACATTCTCAGAGATCAATAAAATGTTAATTTTAATGAACATTTAAACACTGGAACTGGAAGACAAATAAAAAATTTATTTTCATTTATCATGCAATTGGTCGGTGCATTTCTTCCGAAATTGTACAAAACAACAATCATCAACAAAACATATAAGGAAATAATTTTGTTTACAGAGAATTCATTTGAAAAATGAATTCAAAAAACAACAAAATGAATTATGAAGTGTCTGCATACAAATTATCTTTCAAAAAAATTGACCTTTGAGATCAGAGGACCAGACTGACAACGTTTGTCATGCAGTTTTTGGTAAAAAGAGAAAAATGATCAGTCAAGCAAATAAAAATTGTTCCGTTTATTTTAACCTAACATGTAATTAATTGATTTGTTGTTTATTGTGACAGGCCTGCTACTCACACATCCAACTATTTGTTTGTCCATGTATCCTACCATGAGACCATCAATTTCAATCAATCAGTTCTTGCCTGTCTGTCCGTTCGTCTTTCAAATTGTTTGTCCATCCATTCATTCATTCATCTGATGGTCTGTGTTTAATGCACTTGATCACCATCTATCCATCCTTTCTGTTTTTTTCTTTCCTTAATACCCTTATTTAAACTCTGGCCTTTGTAGAGAAGGACACCTTAGCGTCATAGTAAACTTCTGTATATAAACTATAGGATTTTGGCATAAGAACGGTATATAAAGCCAGTATACATGTGTCTGTGTGTGTTTGCCTGTGAGTACATGTCTGGCAGGGCTTTGTGCTGTTTGAAACCATGCCTTGGGACGAGGCCCACACCTTCTCTGGAGCTCCTGTAATTGCTCTTTTGGGGCCCTGTCTCTGGCTCTGAGCCTGTCGCCATCACTCCTCCTGTCATCTTTTTTTTCCTGCCCTCCCTTTCTGTCTTCTTTCCCTGCATGGCTCATTATGGCTGATCCCCACCTGCCCAGTTGGGGAATTCTCCTTTATGCACATACACACTCGCGTTCACACATACATACAGTCAGAGCCACTCAGCGGTTTTCTGATCTGCCTGTCGCTCAGCTAGTTTATGTACTATCTGGTACAAAACAGCTTTGCTAATAGTGGAATGGAAACAATAGGGCCATAAAAAAAGTTCCCACCTCCTGCTGGTGCAAACGGAGAGTTTTTCATTTCGTTTGTGGCTGTTGGGGCACGATTTTTCATCAAACTCCAGCGCTTTAACTGCAGCTTTTGCCTTTGTAGGCATTAGCCTCAGCCACAAGCTTTTAACCACTGGCTTCTTTTCTATTTTGAATCCAGCCCTCCTTCTGCCATGTCACCCGGCAGCCCTTTCCATGCCTATTCCCAGGATAGTGGGAATAGGCATATGCATTATAAGCCTGGGGGGGAGGCATGATACTCCCCCTGTAGCTCTTCGTTTGAGCGATAATGGATGTGGCCAGTTGCAGCTGCTCAGCAAGCAGACACTATCACAGGACTTATCTAAGGACCTGAGAGTGGCCTGTGATGAATGGCTCGGAGCTGTGTGTCTTCTCCGATCAATAAGCCACTAGCACCCAGATGAGCTAGATCCCTCTTCGTTGGCGCTCTCTCCACTCCCCCCACCTCATCTACTCATACAGCCCCCCACCTCATAATCTTCCACCATGTTTGCAAACTTTTCCCTCCAATTCTTGCTCTGACTTGGACCATTGATCTATTATCCCTGGTTTGTTTTAAATAAAAGCCTGGTATCTCCTTCTCCAGAGCATAAAAACGTTCTGACAGTAGTTGCTATTGTGGTAGCCCACCTTATAAACATTTTTCTTTGGCTCGGTCGAAGCCCTGTAATCAGAAGGAACACTGGTAAGAAGCACCCCACTCCTCTCCGGCACCTCTGAGGTTTCCACAGTAAATGTGACGCAGGCACAAGTCCCATGTGGATTTCTGCTTTTATAAGGGAGAAAAACATTTGTATATGACTAACTGTTGCCAAGCCTTGCGTGTCCCATATAGCCACAAACTGCTCCACCTACTTTGAAATGACGCAAGATGTTTTGGCTTTTTATAAGTGTCGTGCAAACATGTGTTTGAGGTCTCCTCAGACCACTACCCTGTGTAAATTGATTCCTACTGCAGAAGGCCAAAGTGTACAATGTTGGTAAACTCACTTATTATTATTGATTTAAATGGGATATTAATGTGCTTTTCCGATCAATAAGCCACTAGCACCCATTTTACCTGTTTTGATTATGAAGAAATTATATGACTTGAACCATAAAATGTGTGTTGTCTGTTCCAACACAGGTTTGAAATCCCACAAAAAGGGGCAATAGTATGTGAAATCAATTTTTTTGAGCTTTAAATTGTGTTATGTTATTACCTCCTTAAAAACATAGCTGGAGTGTTGCCTTGATTCTTTAACATGTGTTTGAGAAATCCTTAAATCTCCTGTAGCAACCATTCAGATGTGCAAAACGTTTGGTGGAACGAAACTCCTCCTTGGTGCTGCAGCTTCTGAGCTTCCACCTCACAGAGCAGCATCCGTCACCCCACTGCTCCTAACTCAGCTCCTTCAGACTAACCAGAAGCAATTAGCACGCAGCTGGTGGAACTGTGCATCAGCAATATATGAGCTACATCTCAGTGCAAAGCTGGTACAAACGTTGTTAAAGGGTTAACAAAGGAGCCATGTTGTGATGTCTTCCTGAAAACAGAGTGTCGGAAAAGCAGGAGTTTCTTAAAAGGACTCAGTTTCAAGAGGTAAACTTATGAAATAAACTTTTTTTTTAAGTCCTATTCAGAATTTCTATTACTAAAATTAGATAACACTGCCCTTTAATAAATATATACACACAGATTATATTTCTAAGTAAACATAAGAGCTTGCTTATGGCTAGCTATAGCCATAAGCAAGATACTGATATACATGACTACTCTTTTAATCATAATTGGTGGAGCACATTTATATTTGCTTCATGTTCTGGCACTAAGCTTTTAAGCAAAGTCCATAAATTGTCAATACAGTTGAAGCTGGAGCCATTCCAGGAGTTTATCTGTATTCAATCCAAAACCAGTTTTAATGTGTGTTTGGCATTGTTGTCCTGATGGTGCCTATAATAATCTGGAAGATGCATCTGTCTGGTCGATGCACAGGAAAGTGACGATTAAATCATCATAGACTTGAGAGGTTGCTGACCATTACTCTAAAACTTACTCTAAAAGGCCAAATAAGAGAAAATGGTGACCAATTTGATCATAATAAGAGTCTTTGAAGATCAAAGTGAAGCTGTAAAACAGGGGTCCACAAAGTCGGTCCTAGAGGGCCGGCATCCTGCATGTTTTAGTTCCCTCCCTGATTTAATGCACCTGGATCAAACGATGGCTTGTTAGAGGCCTAAGAAAAACATTCCTGAAAAGGTTGTCACTACCACCGAGGAGAGAACCAAAACATGCAGGATGCTGGCCCTCGAGGACCGACTTTGGAGACTCCTGCTGTAACACATGAGCTCATTGTAGCAACTCTCAAACATGATGGTGGTGGTAGCATCATACTGCGCTGCTGTTTGCTTCCAGGGGTAAAAGTGAATTGCAATAGTGAAGTGGATGAGTTGAAGGCACCTAAAGTCAACAAACGAAAGGTTGATCCAAGTTGGCGTTTGCACAAGACGATGATCCTGAGGTCTGCTCCATGTTGGCCTCGACTGTAACTGTTCTGAAAATGCATGCCCAATGTTTAAAAGCCAAATATCTGGCAGGAATCCAACCGGTGTGATTGAGCTCTTCTATTTTGAAGTAAAACTATAGGCAGATATACAACGAGAATTGAGCCAGAGCCCAACTAAATATCAGTGAGCTGTAATTTATTTTAGTTTTTTATAATCGAGGAAAAAATAATTGAAAGTCCTCTAAAGGTCCAAACTAATCACCTTCATGCTGATGTGTGAAAGTGAACTTGTGATTGACAGCGTGGGGCTGGCTTTTGATCTGTATATTCTTCAGTTTCTGAGGACTTGCCGATCAAAAGAGCAGAACAGAAAGTCTTTTTCCTTCCATCCTCTAGGGACTCGTAGTAGAGCATCCCCCCCTCTTCCCTCTCATCTCGGTCTCCTCCCGTCCCGCTCCTCTTCTCTCCCCCTGTAGCTCTAATCTTCCCTCTGATCTGCTGTTGTCTCTGTCACAAAGAGCAGAATCTCAGCCTGATAATTGCATGTCTGCCGGCCACCACACCTGTTGCTGTCACTGCAGCTGTGTTTTAAGGTGGGGGTGTAGCGTTGCCCTCTGGCCTCTGTAGCTCCAACTCTCACCTCCACCACCTTTGCTACAGGTATAAACCCTCAGGGATGTGGAGATTATGATTTTTGGGGATGGTGGTACATGCAGAGCCGAGTGTTTCCACACTTGATTGTGTTCATTTGTAACCTTCAGTCCCACCTTAAGCACAAGGTGTAGACGCATCTTCTCAAACCGTCGCCAGTAATGACAGTCTCCCCTCTCACCTTCTAATCCTCCCCTCTTTCTTCCCCCTCCAGAGACCGAGCCCTTAATGAAGCCGGGGGTCAGCGGCAGTGTGTGGCTAATTGGCCAAGTTCGCCCGGGGCTGGGGCTACCTGTGATTGAAGTGTCCAGTGAGCACACACTGTGCAGCCGCCGCTGCACCCTACTCTGTTCCACTCCAGCAGCCAAGACGCACCCAGCACCCCCGTCGGCCTCTCTCTAGTGAGTAGCAACCCAAGGTCGTTTTATTTTCACTTATCCTCTCATTTACTTGCACCACTTTGCTGTGTTCCTTTATTATTTTTTCTGTACAAAGAAAAATTCATCGGGGCTTAGCTATTTTCTGAACCACCTGCTCTCTGAGTCACACTGTTTTTTCTTTCTTGTTTTTTGCTTTTTAATTTTTTTGTTCATAAAAACTTGTCACAATTTGTATACTCTTTCTTAAGCTGCATTTTTGCCGCTAGACTCTGTAGACGCGGTCCCTGCATTTCCTCACTTTCTCTGGCTCACACTCTGCTCACTCCCTTTGTCCGCACTAAACACAGTTGGATTTAAGTAATTTTTTATGGTCTCCCATTGGGTAGCAGCCAAGGTGGGAGGGAGAAGGAAAAAAAAGCATTTCAGCTCCTGTTTTGCTCCTGATGGGTGAATCAGTTTCAGGCCAGGCCTCGGTGTATCAAACTGCTTTGAGTAAACAGCAGGGTGTGGAGCTAATGGTGTGTAGGTGGTATAATTACAGGGTTCCTATGCTGTCTGAAAAGGTATTGAATTGGAAATGGCGATTTATTTTTTCTTTCTTTCGGGTCTGAATAAGGACGAAGAAAGAAAACTGAATTAAAAAATAGCACGTTCAGTACTTCATTTTATATCCCACAGTTTCAGGGGGAAAAGCTCCCCAGTTTTAGATGTTAAATTATAATTCTACATCAATACAACTTGAAAATGGTGACCATTAAACTAATACGTTTTAGCTGCCTTTATCCCTTTTCATGCCATTCTCAAGCTAAGCTGTACACCTTCCTTCCTTTCTTTAAAAAGAGCTTAACAGACAGAACTGTTGGAGTATGGTTATGTCTCTTGAAATGTGTATAGGATCCCAGTAATCAGTCGAGCCTCTTCTTTTCACTTCATAACTGTTTTACTCCCTGCTGTTTATCTGTATTAAAAGTTCTGGAGGAAAGAAACTGAACAGTGTCAAGAAGAGGAAGTAGTTCTGTTACACAGTGCTCTGTTTCAGGAAACTATGCCCCAATTACCAGCCACCCCTTGTCCTACAAGTTGAGGGAAGTTCTCAAAGTATTAACTCGGTCCGTTCTAGTGAAACTTTTCATGCGCTCTATTAAGATCTGTTTGTTTATTAAGGGATATGAGTAATTAAATCTGCTCTGATGCTCATTAGCTGAAGATCCCCAGTAATTAACTGCTGCTGTAATGGTTTTTATGGAGAGCGTTGTTAAAACTTTTACTTTACGCGTTTAATTGAAGAGGAGAAACGCTGCTCCACTCATCCAGTCAAAGAGATGAATTAAGGTGAAGAACGTCGCAACATAATTGTGACTGATGTATCAAGGTTTGTCAGATATTTCTCACTTTGTCACAAACAGTTTCTGTGGTGTTTAAGTCCCAAAGCTGTCAGAAAGCTTGAGGAGTTGCTGATTTCTCTGGATGCCTCTTACTCATATGTGGAGTGCTTAGCTTGACAGATGACTCCTTCTCCCCCCACTATGCATCTTCCTCATTATCAGCTGTTTGCTTTGGTCATTACTGTTGTGCTTCACTTTCCATCACATTTCCTGCAGTCCTCTGTGCCCACCAGCCAGCCCTCTGTTGTTACAGATAAATAAAATGCTGGATAATTTGAAATCTTGGCTTCCCCAGGTGCCAGCGCGCAGGCATCTCTCCATCCCCGTTCTATTAAGTGAGCACAGCCAGAGTGAAATATTTAAACTACACGTGTGACCCAAAAATGCATCCCATAAACATTCACACTCCTTATTTATGGAGTTTTCACTGTTTATCCCTTTTGTTGTTTACGCGCTTCATCTCATGTCCCAGAAGATGGTATAAATGTCATGGTAATGACATGCTTTTTGCTATCCATGAGGATTAAGAAGTGTCAATCATTTTTCCCAGGAGGTTTTGCATCAGTGCTACCCCAGAGCAAAGAGCTACATTGGGATGAATGAATTAGCATGCACTAAATCAAACAAATGTTTTTTGACCCTGGGGACAGGGTGGAGCCTGTAGCTTTCTATTGTCTTGTGCAACAGAATGTTGTACATTTTAGATAGATTTTTTTGATTAAAAAAAAAATCTTAATTTTCCCTGCTATTCGGTATAGCAAATGGTAATCAAAGCTGTTCATGGCGCAGTGTTGTCTAGTGAAACTTCACATTGAGCTGCACAGATCAAAATTATTTTGTCTGATTTTCCGATTGCTGGTTCTTTTTCTTTCTTTGACTTGGCTTGATACTCAGTTTAATTGATTTTGCTTTCTCTTTAGCCATAGTAACTTCAGTGATAGAAACAAATCTATTTATTTTAGGAGCCGTGTGTGTTTGATAGTGCAATCTGTGTAAAATAGGGATTTATGTATTAATGATTTTTGATTTGACCTTTTAAACTGCTGTTTCAAGTTAGTGTTGCACATAGTGCTAAAACAACACTCTGTCTTTTCCTCAAGGGAAGAGCCTTACCTCAATATTGAGATATATCAAAGGCTGCCAGCATGACGGACAGGTTTATAGTTTGAAGAGATGGAACAAAGCTCCTTTTCTGCTCTCCGTTCACCTTTTCTGTTATCTGCTTAACAAACTTCAGACGTGTCTCTATGTCCTACAAAAAGGTTTGCTTTTAAATATCTCTTTGCGTCTCTTTGTCCACTTTTTTTTTCTTCTTTGACTTTGATCCAAAAAACACTAAATTTTGAGTCTTCAGTCAGTAACATCAACCACACTAAGATGTTTGATTTTCTTGTTGGTGGTCAAAGCAGGTAAAACTGAAAATATTCCAATAACAAGCAGGTTTCTCATTGCATCACTTTTTAAAATTACATTTGGTTGTGAAAACCTCCTGCATGTCTTTAGGTTTAAGGGAAATCCCAAACTCTGACTCTTTGGAAGTGATGATGGATGATGATGATGGAAACAAGATAAGATTAAAAAAATTTGTCATGCTAAAAAAGTAATTGTTTTTCTTTGCAAGGCTACTCGTCATGCCTTTTAACTTTTATTCTTAGTTTTGTTATTCCTCCCATGAGCTACATGACCTCAGACCTGTTTATTTTTTTGTCTCAAGGATAATTACATAAACTAACTCCAGGCTTTAAAGATGCATCATCACCATGCAGGTTTTGACCATTGTAGCATATACAGACGCCTAATAAATGTCTGGAAATGGTTAAAAATGCTCATATGTCCTCCAGACACATGTGCTTTTGGATAAACTTGGCCCCCACAGAAATGGCACCTCCTTCACCCACCGCGGTTCGGTCTTGCTCATCAGACTTTGGAAATGTCATGTCCTTGTGGACCTAAAACAATAGAAACCACCTTGTTCCTGACTCATCACCGCCGGCCCACCTCCACCACCTCCAACACGGTGCTGTTCCAGTTTTCCATCGCCCCCTGCAAATATCCAAGCTGTCAAGTCGGACCGGGCTGATCGTTTTTGTGCCAGGGCACAGTTGGAACGGATACGGCCTCCAGGCCACATATACTGCTCCTCTCCAGGCCGTGCAAACAAGGCCTGCCCTGCGCAGCTGTCATCTACATGCTAAGAGCTTTGGATTTCTACAGTGCGCTCCTTTTTCGTAATTATGTTTCCATTTTTTATGCTTTTTTTTGTGATAGGTTATCTCTTTGGAACGTGTTAGCGCTGCATGCTTTACAGCTTTCTGAGCACGAATTTCCGTTTCAGCTCATTGTGTGAATCACTGAATTTGCACTGAATCATAGAGATCAACAAGGTGTGCAATTGCAGATGTCTGAATAGCTTGTGCAGATGCTTTTTTTTCTTTTTGTTTGCTCTGCCTCTTTTGCAGCTTCAACACACACGTGTTTTTTTTTTTTTTTTTAATCAGCAGGTGTAATAACGGTCGTCTTTCAGTGGATCGTACGAGCCATAAAATACCCCAAGATAATCGCCACATCTGCAGCTTTTGTTAGGCTGGGAACTGTGGCCTTCAGGAATTATAGGAACATAACATGAGCAGCGAGGGGAGGGTGAAGGGATGGCTGGTTGAAAGACGGATTCCAGACGAGCCTCTCAAACAGTTTCATGTCAAATCCACAGACATACAAATCTCCACAATGATCTGCCAAGTTTCCGGAGAAATCACTGGAGCAGGAATAGCCAAATTTCACACCCCCGCCCCGAGCCCTCTCCTTGCCTCCCTCCTGTCAGCCATCTCTGGACGCCGCTTGGCAGTCGGGGGTGATGGGGAACATCTGTGCAAATCAGTGTGGTTGAATACACTTAACCGATAAGAAGCTTATGTTTATTTCAATATTTTTGGAGACTGGTTTAAAATAGAAGCAGTTTCGTCACTTAATTTCTGCACATATCTAGTCGTGGAATGATTGAAATTTTAACTTCTAGTGGAGGAGTAGATAACGCACTTCCTATGTAGCTAAATTACTTCCTGTGGCTGACAAAAACAAACTCCCTGCAGTTTCCTTCTGGAACTGCAGGTTTTTGCATATATGTGCACCATCAGTTCACTGTTCGCCTGGTTACTAGCTTATCATCAGAAAAAAACAAAACAAAACAGTGAGAGTGATTCAGCAGGTCTCTGGACGCTCCTGCAGCTGCCAGAGATGTGAGCGCTCGGAGTAACTGAAGTCTCTTTTATTTGGTCGCTCCGTAGAATATAAATAATGAAATGAAGCTCGTAATTGGTGGTTCTCGGTAATTAGGACCAAGCTGTCAGCTAGTGAAGTTGCCTCAGTCTGATGGCGCAGCAGCCAGGGCAGTAATTACTATTATCTATGGGGGTTTGTTGACACAACAATAATCCCGTTCTCAACCAGGATAGTGGGGCTTATGTTTACTGTCGCAAGTGTTAAAAGGTTTGGGCAGAAAACTGTGATAAAGACGCGCCTATTTTTTTATGTATGAATCTGTCAAGTGGGCAACATCAACTCTCCGCTGTAAATGGAGCAAGAGGCTCCTGTCCTTGAATTTTACGCTCAATAACTGAGAAGAAGCTTGTCCATATT